ACACACACACACACACACACACACTCTCTGTGTCAGAGTTTCTTCGTGTTGGATGAGTCATGTGATCGTTCTTCAGGTGGCTTCTCTGAGTTCTCTCATCTGTTCCCTGGTCTGTGTGAGGGGAAGTCGTCTCTGGTTCCCTCCTGCATCTCGCAGCCTTGTCTCCCAGTCACCAACATCGGTCCCACCCGCATCCTGCCGCACCTGTACCTGGGCTGCCAGAGAGACGTCCTCAACAAGGTACAGCGCCACACGCTGGACACGCTCAACCGTACCACAGGATCAAATATTCTACCGTTATTAGTTTCTAATCATTCAAAATAATCAATTTGATTTTTCATCCAAACATTGAAACACAAATAAAAAAAGTCTTTTTCCTGAAGGAAGTGAACGTCTCACATGATGCGTTCATGGACCATCAGTAAAATATAAATCTGAGGTATCGTTCTGTTTTTAACAGTTTAATCACGACTGTGATGAATCAGAAATCTGAGGCCAGTAAACGAAGAGACATGAAAATATAGAATAATAAAATGTCAGTTACTCAGAGGAGAAGAGGTGTGAGGAATAAAGTAGATTTTGATGAAACTTATTCTTTAGTTTATATTTCCTGAAGGAAGTGAACATCAGTTCATGGATGTCAGAAAGTTTAAAATCTTTCCAGTTACATCACTGCTGTTGTTACACGTTCTATCTTCCACCATTAGATATTTTCGGTGTCGTCTCCTGTTTGAGCAGATCTTGGACATTAACATTCGTGTGTTCTTGAAGGATCTGATGCAGCAGAACGACATCGTCTACGTCCTGAACGCCAGTAACACTTGCCCCAAACCAGACTTCGTCCCTGACTCTCACTTCCTGCGAGTTCCTGTGAACGACTCGTTCTGTGAGAAGATCCTGCCGTGGTTGGACAGATCGGTGGAGTTCATAGGTCAGACACGAGGGAAACGTTCTTTTGTTCCTGTTCTGGTATGAACTCGTCAGCTGATCTCCGTCTGAACGTCTCTGTGTTGCAGAAAAGGCGAAAGCATCAAACGCTCGTGTCCTGGTTCACTGTCTGGCTGGAATCTCTCGTTCGGCCACCATCGCCATTGCCTACATCATGAAGAGGATGGACATGTCGCTGGACGAGGCGTACAGGTCAGTTTCAAAATAAAATACAATAAATCTCTAAATCTCTTAATCATAATTATTAAAACCAAAACAAATGTGACGCCCCCTGCTGACCGGAGATAGTTGTTCACATGTTCCTGTTTAATTAACGTTGGTTCTTCTTCTAACATCTTCAGTTGACGGGAACAGAATCTGTAAACATTTAAAATCCATTGCGTCTTTTTAATGAGGTGTGGCTTATAGACACATCACTGCTGATTGGACGACACATAGGACACACCCACCAAACGAGAGACAACGTGTCATTAAACACCTGGAAACAGGCGTGTAGGACATGACATGTCCTCTGATGTCATCACGGTCCAGTCTTCAGACGTGATGACACACATGATCTGGTTTCTGAAGTTAGATTAGATTCTTCCTCACAAAACAACAGTGTCTGTTAACAAGCCTCGTTAACCCTCTAATTAAATGTCATGATCCTCACTAACGAGCTGCTTTGGTTTTTCTTCTCAGGTTTGTGAAGGAGAAACGTCCGACCATCTCGCCCAACTTCAACTTCCTGGGTCAGCTGCTCGACTTTGAGAAGAAGATAAAGAGTCCTCACGGTGTGGAGACCAGACTAAAGTCTCTCCACCATCAGGAGCCCAGCACCGAGGCCCCCACTCTGCCTGACGACCTGGAGTTCGCCGCCAGTCCTGAGGCCCCTGTGGTTCCCGGCCTGGCTCTGCTGGAGCCCTTCACCCTGCCCTGTGTTTTAGACGACGCCCCCGACAAGCGTCCGCTGGCTCAGGCTCTGAGTGGCCTGCAGCTCACCGACGGACCCGAGGACAACGCTCGACTGAAACGCTCCTTCTCTCTGGACATAAAGTCGATTGGCGAGCCGGGCGGGGCCGCCACTCACAGAGTGTTCGTTCCTCATGGCACGTCAGGAGACGCCACTGACTTCTACAAACCGTCGTCCTTCAAAGAGACGACCAGTAAACCGTGTCAGTTCTCACCGGTGGAGGAGGTGTCAGAGCAGTCCACGCCCGAGCAGAGCCCCGACAAGGAGGAGGCAGAAGGACCAGAGCGAATGGGGCCTCCGGCCTCCAGCACCTTAACTGCTCCTGCTGCTCCAAACTGTTCCCAGCAGCTGCACCGGAGCGGCAGCACGGAAAATGCCACCAGCTTCCTGTTCGGCCTGTCCCGCAGCCAGCAGCACCTGGCCAAACCGGGGTCTGGCGGTGCCCTGAAAGGCTGGCACTCCGACATCTTGCTAGGCCCTGTCACAGTCTCCACCTCCTCCCTGACTGGCGGCTGGTACCTCTCCTCTGACTCCACTCGTTTCTACTCCACTTCCATCCTGAGTGGCGGAGGAGGCTTTGCGGCGTACAGCTGCAGTCAAGGCCTGGAGGCGGTGCGGCGCCGTAGTCGGCAGAGGATGGGCGACCGCTGCGACTCAAGGCGGAGCTGGCACGAAGAGAGCAGCTTCGAAAAGCAGCTGAAACGACGGAGCTGTCAGATGGAGTTCGGAGACGGGATGACGGACAGCCGGTCACGGGAGGAGATGGTGAAGGTCGGGAGTCAGTCGAGTTTCTCAGGCAGCATGGAGGTCATTGAGGTCTCCTGAGGCTGATCCCGAGTCACACGGACGCAGCAGCAGCATGCCACCACACCGGCAGCATCACGAGAATCATAACACGAGTCGCACGGACGCCGTGTCGACGTGAGCTCGTCAGATCCACCTGAACATGAGAGCAGGTCGTCTGACGGACAGCGGCGTGGACAGATATCTAACGTTCAGCTCGTCTGTTTATTCGACCGCGTGTCAGAGTGGAAGAGGAAGATGAAGAGCAACTTGTGAACTGGACTCAGTCGTCACTCAATGTCACTTTCTGTCAAACTGAATTCACTCAGGTCTTCAGTGTCAGAAGAAGTTGGATCATGTGACAAACGGCGGCGTGTTGAAGCGATCATGTCGTTTGTCAATGGGCCTCGAGATGCTGCCGGTGTGTGTTGCTGTGACGACGATGGACTCGAAGCCTTCGAGCATCGTCTGGTCTCATGGATTCAAACCTGAAACTTGAACTGGTGCCAAAACCCTGACTGTGATTTTCAGATTTGAGGAGCCGCTGAGTGACGGCGTCTCAGACGTGTCAGCTGACGACAGGTTGTTGATGAGTGAAGAGGCTGGAACTCAAACAGACGCAGGAGAGAAAAGACTCGTTCACATAAATCTGTGTTTTTAAATCTTGTATAAAACAGTAAAAGAGTTTTTGTCTTCAAACAGAAATCTTCTGTTTTATTCATCAGAGTTTGAGTTTCTTCTTCTGCTTCTCAGGACGACGAATCAGGAAGTGAAACTAACATTCAGATGTAAACCACACAACACACAACAGACATACAACACACACACAACACACACACA